AATTTACTTTGTACAGGAAGAGTATTTATAGCCATTTAACTTTTTCACATCGTCACCTTAAAACCGCAAACCTCAATATATTTTACTCAGATTTTATGTGATAGAGGAATTCAGGATTATGAAGTAAAAGAAAAATTACGTAGGTCTTCAAAATTATTATAAACATTGAGAAAACTGCACTTAAGTAAAACTAGCCTTACCATAATTACAGATTCAGAGCTTGAATCTGAAAAAAGATTCAAGATTTAATATTTTTGGTATCAAATCTTGATACCAAATGTTAATGTAGATCAGGACTCCCACCAGCTTCACTGTCCCTGCTGAAGTAAAGCTTCTGCCCAGCATGATGCTGCCATCACCATGTTTTACTGTGAAGATGGCGTGTTCAGCATGATGTACAGTGTTAGTTTCTGCCACACAGGTTTTTGTATGTAGGTCTCGTCTGAGAAGAGCGCCAAAAACTGTCATGTTTACACATTCTCCCACCATTTCCCTTAAACTTAAACATGCTGACTGCACCATGACATGAAAATCTGATAAAATACACTGACGTCTGTGGTAATGTGACGCGATGAATTTGTTCTTGTCTGTCAGTCAAGAACAGACAAGAACTGTTGTGAGACAGCTTAGTCTCAAAACAGCTTTGAGACTAAGCTGTTTTCTATCAGAGTTATGGTACCCATTTATTTTATTTTCCCTTCATTTTTCAGAGTAAATCTAAGTTTTAAAGATCTTTAGACCATCCTTTTAAGGTGTGGTAGTGCAATACGAGAAAATCAAGGGTCATACTGGCATTTTGAACTAATTTATGATTGTAAACATTTCTTAATAAAGCTGCTATATGCTTAGTTGGTCTGGAGAATGGAGCTTTCTCTTGTTACTTTTACAAAATGAAAGTAAGTGTTACAAATGAGAAGAGTGGGATACCAAAAGCTTTATTTTTAAAATAGTTCTTATAAATACTACACCAGAAACGCATGCGGGTTTTAAAAATACATAAAAACAGCTTACAAACAACACTTGTTTAAGAGCGAAGGGGTCGTTGTGAGAAAACTCCTGACCTTTTTTTTATGCAACACAGACTCATTTACTTGTCATATTTCTGGAGTCATATTTCTGGAGAAATGATACTCCATCCGTCCCTTTCCTTAATTATTCTGGTAACTGGGTTCAGGGTGACGTATTGAATCCATCGACGCAGGGCTTGTTTTCAGTCAGGAGCGCATGTTGTGCCTTGGAGCGAATACCGGGAAGGTACTTCCAAGGTGATGCATTTTTTTTTTTAATGCACATTTAATTTGCAGAGCTATGAGCTTTGTCAAATCTGAGGTGAGGACATACCAGTCTGTCCTCTGAGTACAGTTGCACGCTAAACGCACCAGCATTTAGTTTCTCCCAAACACCAGGATTTCTACGCCGTTTAAATGTTGGGAAATGGGGTTTGAGGTTTTTGGTTTTGGCATTGACAGATTTATCTCAACTCATTTTAAAATGAAATAAAACGAGCATTGGGGAAATACTGACGGCTTTCAGCTCACCCAACAATCATCTAGTAAAGTATTAGACCAGATAGCACTTGGTGAACTAGATCCAGCGCAAGCTGTAAAAGAAACGGATTACAAAAGTCTGCTGAAAGAAAAAAAAAAAAAAAAATATATATATATATATAAATTTATATATTTATTTTAAAAAATTAAAAAAATAAAATATTTTTTCACAGCTGACATTTTCCATGCATTAAGGAAATGAGTTTTGGGTCAAGTTTAAG